CACTTTCTGTCTCTCTGTCTCTCTCTGGCTGGCTGGCGAGCACACGCGCCCTATAGCAAAAACCTCTCAAAAAAAAAAAAAAAAAAAAAAACCCCAGGTAACATTCTTTTTTTTTTTTTTTTCCCAAGCTGTCAACATGAGCTGTGCCCTTCCAGCCACACACATGTGATGTTTACTCTAATTTGTTAATAAGGAAAAAAAGCTTCTGGTTAAAAATAACATCTGTTCATTGACAAAAACCAGCTTGGGTCATGAAAGGAGTTTTCAGTACATTATAAAAGCAGAGTTTGGCAGGATGTACTTGGGTCATAAAACTTGTAACAGCTTTCACTTCTTCCAGGGTGAAAGGGGAGCGACCATGTTTCAGTCAGAGGAACTTCAATTTGTGGGTTGGTTCTGTGTTGTCAGTTTTCTTAGATTCCTCACCCCCATTTCAATAATATAACCCAGATTAGAGGTCTTTAAGGGTCTCCATTTCTAAGGATGAAATTCTTGACTTGAGGTGATACTTCCACTGCTTAGGAATGCTAAGATGCTCTTTGCCTAGTGTTTTAAGGAAGTAGGTTACTGAATTGTTCCTGACTAGAGTGACAGAAATTTTAGCTGATGTGGCACCATCTTTTTTTTCTTTTTGCACCTGGTGACATTTTGTTAATGATGTTTTTTTAAAAAAGTAAAAAATTGTGGGGGCCAGCAGATGGCGTAGTGGTTACATTACTGAACTCCCACATAGCCAACCAGGGCTCCAGTCCTGGACCCAGTGACTTCAGATTCACTCTATGTGCATGTATGTGCATGCCCAAGATCCCAGGAGGAGAATGGAGGATAAGGGATTGCAGTGTGGCCACTCCCTCTGGTGGGTGATCTCTCACTTTCCCTCTCACTGTCTCATGTCTAAGCATCTGGACCAATATAATTCTCATCTGCTGGTTTTATTGGTATATTACAGATCCATTGATCTACTAGTTCTCAGCCTAGTATTTAACAGAGACCAAAGAATAAATTAAAAAAAAAAAAAAAGCCCTAATTGCATAGGACTTAACTTAGGGTTTCCAGTACTGTGGCACCTCTTGACATAGTTACCCATCATCTGCCAGCATTTATGTCTGAGGACTATTAATGTTTAAGGGTGTTTTTTTGTTTGTTTGTTTGTTTGTTTGTTTGTTTGTTTTTTTATTAACGAGTCAGTGTTTTGGCTTTGTTGTCATAGAGTCAACCTTAATTAATTCATGGGTCAGTTGATAAACACATTTCTGCATGTATTTGTAAGCTACCATCATGATGAAGGTGATAGTGAGAGGTAGGAAAAGGTACTGGTGGTTCTAGAAAGGTTTTGGATTACTGAAAAGTTAATATTTGGATACATTGAAATGATTCAAAATTGGCAGGTGAAAAAAAAATATTGTTTTATAAGGTACTAAGTGAAGCATCCTGGTAATTTTCCTAGTGGCACAACATCTGTCCCCCTTTTTTTGACTAAAATTATGCCCTTCTGGTCTTGGTTGATGCCTGACCATTTAAAGACAGGCAAAGCACATTGGGAAATGTGACCAACACTACTAGCGTTTCCTAATGGGATTTGTATTTTGCTTTAGTGGTTACATATATTTTGCATTTGTTTTCCTCAATCAGTGATCAGTCCTCTTAGAAAAATGCATTTTTACTTTCATAAAGAAGCACCTACGCAGTAGTATGTAATTTGGGGCTAGCTTCAAAGGAAGAAAGTTTCTAGTATCTAGTTGAATTTCTGTGTCAGAAGAACTAAAATCCAGTTCTAATAACGACTTCCTTCATCTTTGAACAGACTCTCTTCCTGCT